AGAGGCTCAGAAGCATCTTACATCTCTCCTTTTCTTAGGCCCAGTATCCAACTTCTCCCTTAGTTTTAAAAATGCATTTTTTCTCCAGCAGAAAAGGAGAGGCTTAGGAGTCATCTCCCTGACTACAGTATGACTCTGTCCCTCATAATGCTGTAGATTCCATGTCTGAGATGAGTACATGTGGATCCTCTGTCTGGCATGAGGCATTGAGGCTGTGACAATGAATGTGGGTGTCAGGAATTGCCTGCCCATTCACTACAACATTTTTTTTTTTTTAAATCTTGGCTTAGTGCAACGTGTGAAGCATCATAAAATCATAGAATCATAGAGCAGGAAAACCTTTCATCTGGTTCAACCTCCTGCTCAGTGCTGGATCCACTAGAACATCTTTAACAGATGACCATCCAACTTATTTGAAGACCTCTAGTGAAGGAGAACTTACCACATCATGTGGTAGCTTGTTCCACTGGCTAACAATTCATATAATCAGGAATTTTCTTCAATTATCTAACCAGAACATATGGTTCTGGGGCAGTAGAAAATAAATCCAGTCCATCTTCTGAGGGACAACCATTCAGAGAGTTGAAGACTACTTCAAGAGCTTCCTTCAGTTGTCTCTTCTGTACACAAAATATACTCAGATCCTCTAATTTTTCCTCATTCTGGACCCCTCACCTTCTTTGTAGCCATCCTCCAAACTCATTGTCATTGACCTTTTTGAAACACAGTGCCTAGAACTGGACAGAGCACTATAAGTGGGCTCTGACCAAGGCACATTCAGTGACTAGCACATTTTGAGTTGGTATGTTGTTTGAATCTAGGTACTGTGATTTATAAGGTATAATTATGCATACCCCAAGTGTAGATTAGTCAGTAAACTATGCTTAGGATTGCTGTGAGGATTATTCAAGGCATCTGTTGAAAAAAGGCACTCAGATTTGCTCTGAGTTGAACTCCAGCTGGGCAGGATTAGTTGAGCTGACTCAAGTAAGGTCTAGCAAGGAACAGAAACTGGGTGAGGTTCTCAGAACTATCAGTGCAGGCACTTGCATATTAGATCCATGTCCTTCCCGGCTGGTCAAGGCCTCCTGGGGTGTGATGGGCGGTAGGTCTAAAGGGTAGTCCGGTCTCTGCTTAAGGAAGTAGTGGTCTACCCTCTCATCAAGAAACCATCACTAGGCTCTACAATCTTGGATAATTTCCAACCCATCTCCCACCCATCTCAAACATTCCCTTTCTGGAGAAAGTTGTAGAGAAGGTAGAAGGCCTGCAGCTTCAGAGGTCTCTAGAAGAGGCAGATTATCAGGGTCCCTTTCAGCTGGCTTCAGGCATTGGCACAGTACCAAAACAGCATTAATCACTCTTGTAGATGACCTGTGGCAGGACTGGAAAGGGGGTGATGCATCCATCCTGACCCTCTTTAAACTTTTGATATCAATCACAATATCCTCCTGGAAAGGTTCAAGAGCTTAGGAGTAGGAGGCACAGTGTTATAGTGGTTCTCCTCATTCTTCCAGGGTTGGTTCCAGTTGGTCTTGATGGGAGGAAGAGGTCCAGCCCTCAGCTCCTGCTCTGTGTGTACCTTAGGACTTAATTCTCTCCCCACTCCTGTTTAACATCCACATCTATGCTAGGTGAGGTCATCCATTGGCATGGAGTTATACTTCTCAACTCCTGACTGTCCAAACAATGCCATTGAGGTTCTGTCCTGGCATCTGGAGGCTATGGGGATCTGGATGAGGGAAAACAGGCTGAAGCTCAACCTTTGCAAGACCAAGTGGCTGCATAATTTGGGGCCACCCAGATCCAGGAAATTTTCATCTTTGATTCTCTTTGGGCTGATACAACCCTAGACAAACCAGGGTGCAATTTGAGGGTCCTCCTGGATTTACAAGTCCTGTTTGAAGAGCAGGTAGGAGTTGCAGCTCAGGGGATCTTTGCAGAAATTCAGCTTGTGTGTTAACTGCACTATTCCTGGACTGGGAGACCCTACTTGTGGTCACTCAAGCCTTAGTCACTTCTTGTCTGGATTATTGCAATGCATTCTATATAGGACTGCCCTTGAAACTTACTCAGAAGCTACAGCTGGTCCAGAATGCAACAGTGCAAGAAGTTATGGGCACCTTTATGCACCAACACTTCAAGATTTGCATAGGTTACCAGTAGACTTCTGGGTGCAATTCTAAGTTGCTGGTTGTGACCTATAAAGCCCTTCATGGTGCAGGGCCTGGTTGTTCAGTGGGACCACTTGTCTCCATTTATTTCAGCCTGTCCAATAAGATCTGACAGGTGGGTGTGCTCTGGGTCCTATCATATGAGCAGTATCACCTGGCAGGACCCAGGAGACATGCCTTCTCTGTTGCTTGCCTGTCCTATGGAACAGCATTCCCTGGGAGATCCAGATGGCCCTAACCCTACCTGTTTTTGGAAGACTTTTCCCCCAAGATCTAGGTTGGGAGGTTTCATGCCCATCTTGATTGTTTTTGGATTGTGTTTAGTTAGATGAAGTTGCTTTGGGTATGTTCTCTTTTCTTTTATTAATATGTGTTGCTTTTATCTGTGAATGCTGCGCTGAGTCACATGTCAGTTGAACAGCCATATCAACTGATTTAATAAATAAACATTAAAACAATTAAAGCTTCTCTGAGCCCAGTTTGCAAGTCTCATCATTCAAGGTAATGATTTAATGGGGTTAATGCTCTTAGATAGGGGAATAACAAGATAAATCCAACAGGGGAGATTTTCTGCAGCATTCAAGGGGTGCCACACTGACTGTTAAGCTGTTGTGTGTCTCGTTTGGCTTGTATAAATGCAACCATTGGTTTGTATAAACCATGGTTTGATTTCTCAGGTTGGACAAACCCAGCCTATTAGCCACAAGTCAGAGGATTCTGTTATGAAACTCTGGTCTTGCTTTCCATCTGAGTCAGATGGCATAAAGTGTTAGATCCCTTGCCAACCCAATGCATCTCTCCCAAGTCCCAGTTGGATGGTATGTTCTGATGGCTAAGTATGTCCATCTTTGTAGACTTCTAGATAAGATTATTGGTTTTCTTCTTTAGCATCCTGCCTCACCAGCCAGTGGGGGAGGGGGGGGAACATCTACCAACCAGAGTCTGCAGCAGGAAAGGTGTGACTCTGCCTGGGCTTTGTTCTTCTAGACTGATTACTTCTGCATCTCTATACCCCCAATGGGCATCTTCCAAGTTAAAATATTAGAAAATAAAGGAATCTATGGGAAGACCCCAGGGAGGTGAGAGGCAATCTCAGAATTATTGCGCAACATGCAAGCGCCTGCAGAGGGGAGAACTAACATAAATAACCGATCCCTTACTTGAAAAGAGTGAGGAGGAAGTGGTTGAAACTCTCAAATACATGGAAATTGGCAAATAAACATGAACACGCCTCCCCCTTCTTGCTGACCTGGAATGCTGGAGAAGTTGGAAGCCTGGAGAGAAATTGCTTGGGAAATCCCACTGGGAGATTCTATCCTTCTTCACAATCTTACCAGATTATTGCCAGTAAAGCAGATACAAACCACAACAGTCTACTCATTCCAACTTAACTTTATTATTTACTTACATTATAATTAATAAATTGGGACCCCAGTAGTTTAAATAAAATAAAAAGTGCAGATTGTGTATGCTCTAAAAAAATATATTCATATGTCTAATTTGAAACGTTCAGACTTAGCAAGCCACTATTCCTCATCAATTTCCTCTACGTCTGCTTTAATTCCTCAGCATTGTTTGGAAGATAACAAGAGCTTGTTTTTGATCCCAGGATGAATGGAGAGGAAAGGGAAAGAGAGATTCAGAAAGGTGAATGGGGGAGAAAGAGGATTTACCAGCAGAAATCAAAATTATATTTTGGAATAGTACCTTTACAAAACAAAAGAGGCCAACTGACTATTTTGGGGTCTGGATTTCAGTACACTGGGAGGTCACCATCTCTCCTTGTTTCCCTTGAAGACAGCCAGAATTATTAGGCTAAGAAGATATGATTAACAGTTATAACAAAATAGAGGGGAGTGTGATAGGGGAGGGGAGGGAAGGGGAGATGGGTTCCCCTACCTGCACCTGACAATAGCTAGGTGCAAACAAACCTCTGGATAGGGCTTAACTTGGATGAAGTTTGCTCCTGATCACTTAATGAATTTGGGATTCCTGAGTTTATCGGCTGCTTGACCGTCTTTCTGCAGACCAGTATTTTTCAGGTTCATTGGTCTAACCGCATCTGTTTGTTAGAGGAGGACTGGAAATCCACTTAATCCCCCAGCCAGGGCCTGACTGGGACCCCAGTAGATCTGGAAGCTAAGAGAAACTAAGAGAGAAGAACACACAAGAATGCCCGCTTTCCTTGGGGACAGCAGTCCCTTAAACAAGAACATGTAACTGTGATTATAAAAGACAATTATAGCCTTCCTCTACTTCTAACATGTTTCTTACAGATTCTTCTTACAGAAGGGATTCAAGTTGAAAACTGGGTATTTCTGAAGACTCCTCCATACAGAAGAACAAACAGATCCCCCCACATAGAATACTAGCAATTCAGAGCTCTAACCCAAACAATATGCACTTAATTTTTATGTGCAGGAGGGTCTTTTATTCTAGTTGACTTGGAGGGGCATTCAGTCGGGTTAAATTTGACATAGATCCTGACATACATTTATCACTGTATCTACATTTTGTGAGAATAAGATCTCGCCTGCTTATTGCCTGAAGATGATAAATTCAAGTTCTGAGCAACTCAGTCGCTTCTCTGGGGCGCAAGTGTTGTTGGAAAAATGTTTTCCTTCCAGGTTAGTTCAAGGGATTAACGTGCAGCTTAAACAGATAACAGCAGGGAAAAA